CGTTATATTTATATTTCGAGGAAAAATAAAATATTCTTTGAATAAGTGAAATGGATGAATTTGAACACAAATCACATACATCATAGTTGATACTATACATGATTAAAGTCATGAAATACGAAGTAATGGAACTCAAAGTTAAGAAGCGATTATAATTTTATTTTTTCTATCACATACATCATAGGCCTTGACGAACTTCACTTAAAAGACTACATCGCGATGGAGAACTCCAAAATCTTTTTGTTATATTTTTTATTTTATTTTATTTTTTTGCGCGATATTATTATGTTTAATAACCGCATTAGTAGTGAATCTTGCTACTACATGCCCTGAGAGGATAACAAAGTAGGCCACGAATTAGTTTCATTTGCTTTCTTAATTGATCGGTCTTTTTCTTGGACCACCCGGCACCAACTATTCGTGGTGACATTAATGAAGAAAGTTACAATTTTCTATCAAAAGGGGAAAAAAAAACTTACTTATATTGGACACCTAAAATTCTTCGAATTAACTTTCAACAACTCTAGAAACTTTATCAAGACTCCAAATTGAAGTATAGATGGGGAACAAATCCCTTTATACATTAGCAAATTATTTAATTACCATAAGTATGATCCCATTTTTTTTAAAAACTCATTTTTTCAAAATTCATTTTTAATAACACATTTTCCAATAAGAAAATTTTCCGGTCAAACTCAAAACATTTTATTTTTAATCACACATTCTCCAATAAAATACTATTTCAAAATACATTTTGGACAAAAAAATGGGACTCAAATAGAGACTTAGAGAACGTGAATTACTTCTCTTGCTAACTTAAGCATTAAATTCATTCAAGGCTCTTAATATGTCGAAGAAGCCTTCGTATTCCGTCTCCCAAACTTTAACAAGTGACTATATGAGTTTTATGATTCTACACGACTTCGACACTTGTGAATCCAAACTGCAAAGCACGAAAACAAAATTAAAGGATCATGCTATTTTCGTTTCCAAATTCAAAGGTGATTACATTTATGAATTGAGATAACATTTGATCTTGTTTTTCGACTAATACATGAACTCCTATCTACTATTCAATGCAATGAAGTCATTTCATGGGGTTTGTCTTATGTAGGGGCGGACCCAGCACTCGGCCAACCCCCATGGCCGCCTGTGTTGGGTCGGTCGAGAAAAAATGAAGAAAGCATCGGTGTCGAGTGGATTTTTTTCCTTTGTTATTTTGTTTCAGTGTTTGGGCCTTTTTTTAAAGTTGCAACCCATTAGCCACAAACAAAATCAAATCCAAGATTCCAAATCTCCAATTCCAAAATTGAAATCCAAATTGTAGAGTAGGGAGACGACAGGTGATTGGCTGCATGAGTCCCTGCTGCTGCTGCTGTGGCATGTGCCTGTGCATTGCTATCTGTGAGTTGCACTACGCCTAGCCTCTCCTCCTCTCCGGCTATCAGGAGTTGTCTCGGCCAGTCCAGCTTCGCTGCTGTCACAGTGAGTTTGCTCTCCTCTCTCTCTCTCTCTTTTTTTGTTTTTGTTCCTTCATTGTGTAGTTAAATTGTTTGATTTATTATTTATATTTTATAAATTATGTTTATAGAATATGAATATGTTTGTGAATTGAGCCTGTAGACTGTAGTTTTTAGATTTTAAATTTTGTAAATTTGAAATTTGGGGATTTTGTGA